GACTTGAAAATCCACTCAAGTTTTTGAGATTTCTGCAGGACATTTTCAACCCAGAAATAGAAAAGTTTCAAACTGCCGACCAAACTAAACTCCAGCTACGGTCATCATGTGCAAATATATAGCGCAAGTGAGAAAAAAGCTGTGACTTTTGGTAGTTTTCTTTCAAATCCTCAACAGAAGTCAGTTTATATCAAATGGCACATAAACTGAAGAGTGCAGATCGAGTTAAATCTGATTGATTTTACCATGGGGGGAGGAGGGGGGACATCATCATCATCATCGAACGAGAACTTTAAAAGACGGATTCTTCCTGACGTGTCGCATAAGTACCTGCGTGAACACAGATCGACCAACTGTTCGCTGTACGGGACGCTCATTCACACGAAGGCAATGGAGATCAAAACATCACTGAAACCTTTCCAATGATCGACAACTGTAGGATCAACAAGAACTGAAATCTTTGGTCTAAATGTTTTGGGGGCGGAGGTTTGGGAGGTGGAGGTGGGAGGGGGAACGAAAACAGTCGACTCAAAACAAACCTTGAAACTGTAATATCTTTCAGCTTTATATATACGATAGATACATCTCTGTGTAAGAGTGAGTCATGACGCAGACGTCACAGGTAAATATTAACACGAGAATCTTGTTGATGATAAATGTGTGCAATTTTTCAGACAAAGCCCTCTGTGAAGGAAAAGATCCGAACATATCTCTGAGAAAAAGTTTCAAAAAAGCGCCTCCTTCCCTCCTAAAAGTAGCTCTACGTTTTTTGCCTGTAACCAATACTGTACATCTGTCATAAAACTCTTAAAAACCCCCGGCCCTGCTTGCCGTAAAACAAAAGGGAACTCTTCGTTTTTTTTTGTTTGTTTTCTTCTTTAATAAATGTATAATTTTCATATAAAGACATTCAACAGTGAGCAATGCAATATAGTTCAAGTAATAGTTTTTTTTTTTTTAGTTCCCCCTATTGAAAAAAAAAACAAAAAACAAGAAGTCAGCTGATAAAATAAAATCCTTCGGACTGCGTGGTGATGGAGGGGAAGGCGGATGATGCTGCGTTTAAGCTACAGGAAGCCATGAGGGACAAAACTCAAAAAGTGAGGACACTATAAAAGTTGAAAAGTCATGTGGAGGGGGGCGGGGAGAAGGGGATATCTAGCTTAATAGACTGAGAGTGATTTTAAGTATCAATGCAGAAAAAACCCTGATTTATTTCTTTAGTTTTTTCTTCAAATCGCTGGCTTTGTTGTGTGGTAGTTTCTACGGTAAACTTGAAACACCTGAGGGTTTATTGACCGTCATGAAGGAGACATTAAAAAGTCTGCCGAATCGAACGGGCCTGCGTTTCCGGTAGCACCTGGAGAGTTCGTATCGTTTCTGAACGCGACTGTGGTGCTTTTTAAAGAAAGAAAAGGAGAAACAAATAAAATAACCCAGCTTCGGATCCGGACCGATCCTTTTTTTTTTGTACATTCAAGATTATATCTTCAAACCCCGCCTTGGTGTCCCCCGTTAGTCCGAGAGAGGACAAAGACCGTCGTCAAAGGTGGACGCCGTCAGATACAAGAAAAAGGGCTGTGTCCCAATTCAGAAGCAGATCCTCTGCAAACGTTTCCGTGTGGGTCTCATACTTGACAAAAACACTGGATCGGATATTCGGTCCCTCCGGGAAGTTGTAAAATTTGTAAAATGAAAAGTTCTGCTTGCAATTCTGTCCAATCATTGAAACTTTTCTGCAAATTTGACCAGTGGTTGTAATTTCTGGTGACTTTCAACAATCATAGACGTCCACAAATTACTGGCAAACTACTGATAACAACTCACTGGAACAAGTTCCCTTTGATTTTGACTGAATTATACAAAAGGATCGCAGTAGAAATTGCAGGAGAATGAATTTCTTTTTGCAATTAAATTACAATATGCATCACAATTTTTGAGAAAAGTTGCTTTGAAATCAACTCAAAAGAAACGTGCAAATTTCTGGAGGGACTAGATATATATGTGAAAAACCTATCTTACTAAATTCACCCTGAAAGATCAAGTTAATACTTGTAGCCACAGTTTGTGCGACTCCTCAAAAAGGCAAGAGAAACTGCAGAAACATCCTGCAGAGGAAAGCAAACTAAGATCTCCTGATTCCTGGATGAGCTGTTGTGTCATACTGAGCTCAAACTTAGAAGCAAATTGAGTTTTCTTCCACAAAAGACCAAAAGGAAAAGGTCAAATTTCTCGTCTGAATTCGAAAGCGAGCCCCTGAAATGGGACACAGCAAACACCTCGCCACTGTTGCATCCAGCTGTGCTGATACAGTCTCTCCTGTTTCTTTCTTTACTGTTTTTAGCTGAACTGGGATTTAAAAGAGGGACAACTGGGGCTGGCAGTCAGCTTCAAGCTAAATCCAATTTGGCCTGTCCTCAAAAGCAATTAGTTAGTGACCTTTAGGTTGCAGCTCTCTGATACACAACTGGCTGCAGGCTGCATTAACAATTTACTCTTTAATGCACTAATTTGCATTTAACTTTTAGTTTTTAGGGACTCCGTCTGGATGCCGTTGGACAATAAAAACCTTGAAGGAAGTCACAGTAAGTACTTCTTTTGTGCAGATATCCCTGGCATTTTTTATTATCATTAAAACAATATTTAAACTTCGTTTTTATTGATGCGCCGTCAGATTTTATTCCAGAGAATCTCCTGTTGCCAATTTTGCTTCTTTAAATGCATAAAAATTAAGATTTTTGAATTTTGTTTGTCAAATTATCAGAAATTTACTGAAATAGTTTCACATCTTTCTGACTTTAAACAGGCCAAACTGGATTTTGCTCTGGGACGAACTGATTCGGTCTCCGGTAAAATACGGGAGATCGGGTACTATCAATGGCTTTCAACTCCATGAAACCTCGTGAGCGGACTATCTCGAAAGCCGGGGGCCGATACACTGTCGGGTGTTGAGGAGGACATTGAGACGGGGGCATAGATAAACACATGGTGGGTACAACCAATGTTGTATCATTCACTCGCAATGACTCCTCAAACAATGGCCCTCTTCCTACAACCTGATACACTCCTTCAAACGTACCTCTGTGTGTGTGTGTGTG